ACACACACACACACACACACACACACACACACACACACACACACACAGTTAGCCCAACAGCAGTGTATGTATAACTGATTGTAGTTTACTTCATTACATAGAAACGTTCCTGGTTCACAATATATTCTGATTGACATCCTTCCCAACACTTTACAGAGTTTATCATAATGGAATAAATTCACTTTAGTTTTAATAATGACTTCATGTTTTCCCATGCAAAAAGACTCAACTAATGGAGTTAAAGAAAAATAATACATTTTGATCAACAGTGGAGCCACTGTCATGCAATGAATGAAATAGCTCTTTTTAAGACGCGATAAGTAACTAATGACTTTATCAATCTGTTAAAACTATATCCTTTAGTCATTCAGACATTATTTTTCTTGTAAATCTGTCATTCAATAGATATCCACCAAAAGGGCACATTCATAGCGATGTGTTTTACCCATTTGTCTGGTGCTAATAGTTTAATCAAGAAGCTAATTAGAGCGATAATATTTGTAATTTCCTCTCACTTCTTCATAGAAAAAGAAAACACAATAGAAAAAAACCTGTTGTTTTTAAAGTACTATAAAAAGTGTTGCTTTATATCAAAAATCAGTTTCTGCTTGAAACAACTGAGCCAGTTTGTCAGATGCCATTTTGGATAAGGATGTTTGTTGGTGGGATGGCTCTGTGTGGTTCAACATATCTTTTTATTATTATTATTATTATTAGACCTTTATTTAGTTCCCACTGAACCTCGAAGACTCATTTACAAGAGAGACCTGTTACATACAACATACAGGCAGATGAGAAAAGACACAATCTAAAAAGGCAGTGTGGAAAAAAAGACAAGATCAAACGTTTTTGAAAATCTTTTTTAAAATGATTAAGGCCTCAGAATTAGTAAATAAATATGAGTTACTTAACATGGCATGGTGTTTATTTTGAGAAAATATGGTGGGACAGAAAGTACAAACTTGGCATTAGAATAGTTGTAAGAACTGAGCCAAATACAGGCAGAGAGAAGGCTGGTTGATGAAAGCATAACTCTGATTGATCTATTGAATAAGACTAAAGGTAATCCAAGGACACCTGTATACAAACAAAATCAAAAGGTGTTGACAGTACAGGTATGATCACGAACAAAGAAGATCTAGCACCTAATACTGAGAGAATTGATGCAGGTGTGACAGAGTCTACAAAATAAATCAGAAAGCTGGAGACTTTACATGGGAGGCTGTGGCTGAGTGGTTAGAGCAGTCACGATCCAATGCAAGAGTTGAGGGTTCAATTCCACCAGCAGTCACATGCCGAAGTGTCCCTGGGCAAGACACTGAACCCCTCATTGCCTCTGATGTGTGTCCCATCAGTGTCTGAATGTGATAAAGCACTGATTATTCTCTTTAGAATGATTTGTTCAATTAGCTTTGTAGAGATCTATAGAGTGACGTATGAATGGATAAATGAGGACACAGATTGTAGGGTAAAGCGCTTTGAGTTTCTTGATAAGATAGAGAGGCGCTATATAAGTACAGTCCATTTAACATTTACATTTTCTGTGAATATGCAGTATGAATGCATGAGACCTAAATGGCTGCTGTAATGTGCTGAAGAAACCGACACTAAGTGTTAAAGCTACAAGAAACAGAACATCAACTAAAAACTAAAAATAGCAAAACATATAGGTAAAAGCTAAATTTAGCACGTGGGTAGTTAAAAGTCAAAATAGCAAAACCCTTGCTAAAAGCAGCAAAGGATTAGCTGAAAGATAAAAGTGGTTAAAGGCTTGTTAAATGTAGTAAAAGTGTAAAAGCTAAAGGGTAGCTAACGCCAAATGTAAAAGGTTAGATAAAAGTAACAAAATGTTAGAAGCAACAAAAGGTTAGCTGAAGCTAACAGTATAAAAAGGCTTAAGATAGCTTGATGCTTAAAAACAACAAACACTAACTACAGTTGATGTTAAACAGAGCAGAATTCTGGCAAAAATCTAAATACTGGTATATCAAAAGACTAGCTAAAAGTAGCAGAAAAGGTAGCTTAAAGCTAAATGTTGCATATAAAAATATAGCAAAGTTACAAAAAGAATACCTCTAACAAGGTTGAATCAGGTCCTCTGGACGGGTTCTTCTTTGTTCAACAACATGGATTATTGAGCATGCATCTGGACAAAAGTCGTAGCACCCGTCCCCTGAATGAGCTGAACGTTTTGACACAAGAATGACTAAAAAGCACAAAGTATGCAGAATAAGATAAAGTACAAAAGATGTACAGAAACAAATAAAACATACAGGAGAACAGTGATGGTGTAGAACAGAACTAGTTGACTTCAGTCGCTAAACTAAAACCCAGACCAAATACAAACTGTTTTCACAGACTCACTGTGATCCTGATATGTTCCTAAAATGCTCCAGAGGATCATGTAACAACTCAAATGTTGGAAGCATTAGCTATGGGCATCTTGAAGACCATTTCTGTTCAGCCTCTTAAAATGATAAAACATTCAGATGATCACCAGATGAAGTACTTTTCCAAACATATCAGCAAATCTTTCAGAGCACATCCTGCTGAGCTGAATGCTGCATTAAAGTGTCTCTTTGATAATGTGGACGTATTAAAATATCTGTGCTATTATTATCAGTGCTAAACATATTGGGGATGGGTAATGATTTTCAAATGTTCTAGTACTGGTATACAGGTGCTGGTCATAAAATTAGAATATTATTAAAAAGTTTATTTATTTCAGTAATTCCATTCAAAAAGTGAAACATATATTATATTCATTCATTACACACAGACTGATATATTTAAAATGTTTATTTATTTTAATGTTTTTGATCATAATTGACAACTAATGAAAACCCCAAATTCAGTATCTCAGAAAATTAGAATATTATTAGGATCAATAAAAAAGGGATTTTTAGAAATGTTGGCCAACTGAAAAGTATGAACATGAAAAGTATGAGCATGTGCAGCACTTAATACTTAGTTGGAGCTCCTTTTGCCTGGATTACTGCAGCAATGCGGCGTGTCATGGAGTCGATCAGTCTGTGGCACTGCTCAGGTGTTATGAGCCCAGGCTGCTCTGATAGTGGCCTTCAGCTCTTCTGAGTTGATGGGTCTGGTGTATCACATCTTCCTCTTCACAATACCACATAGATTTTCTATGAGGTTAAGGTCAGGCCAGTTTGCTGACCAGTTAAGAACAGGGATACCATGGTCCTTAAACCAGGTACTGGTAGTTTTGGCACTGTGTGCAGGTGCCAAGTCCTGTTGGAAAATGAAATCTGCATCTCCATAAAGTTTTTCAGCAGCAGGAAGCATGAAGTGCTCTAAATCTTCCTGGTAGACAGCTGTGTTGACCTTGGACCTCAGAAAACACAGTGGACCAACACCAGCAGATGACATGTCCAAAGTTATGTTCTCTGATGAAAGAAATTTTGCATTTCCTTTAGAAATCAAGGTCCCAGAGTGGAAGAAAGGAGGAGAGGCACATAATTCACATTGCTTGAGGTCCAGTGTCAAGTTTCCAAAGTCAATGATGGTTTTAAGTGCCATGTCATCTGCTGGTGTTGGTCCAGAAGTCTAAATTGGCAGCCCTAACCACTGAGCCACCATGCCACCCTATCTGAACAGATCTGCGTTTTTTTTAATTGGTCAGTTGAACTGATTCCTGTTAGCCATAAATAATAGCCTAAGTCAAAACTTGCATTTAAAAATAAAAGTTTTATTTGGTTCAGCCTGGTAAAATTATTGCTTTTCTGACTTTTGACTGACTGTTGGAGTCAGCCTCCCCACCTTCACAGACATCTACACCTCCAGATGCAGGAAGAGGGCCATCTGCATCATGAAGGACTTCACTCACCCAGCACACACACTCTTTGCCTCGTTCCCCTCAGAAAGGAGGTTGAGGAGCATTAAGTGTAGTACCACTAGACTGAGGAACAGCTTCTACCCTGAAGCTGTTAAACTTTTTTTTTAAATTCAACCTTTATTTATACAGATAAATCACATTGAGCCTCGAAGACTCATTTACAAGTGAGACCTGTTTAGACAAATAGACTCATAAATCCCTCACAGGAAAAATCACTGTAATGCCACTTTAATTGGTTATACGTCACTTTATCTGTGCTGCTGATTATCCATGCTGCTGATCTCTTGCCTTTAAGCTGCTATATTCATACCCATCTGCTCACAACAGACTCATGTTCGGGCTGCTGTTGAACACACCATATTATTTTACATTAGTACTGTGTAGTGTATATCTTAGATCCTTGTATATTGTTTATTTTTTATATATATATTTGCTATTTTGGGGTGTAACTGGAACCTGAGTGCACAATTTTGTTCCACCTCACATACCACATGTGATGCGAATGAAAAAAAAGAACCTGGAACCATGAAAACTTTAATATCCTTGCAAGACATTTTCTCGAGTAACCATTTTTTGACTATCAAATGTAAATGCAGTCATAATATTCTTTATGTTCAATATATGCTGCACTCACTGAAACAGCAAGAAATCACAGCATTTTCAAGTTAGTCATGATTAATGATTAACTTCCTGTTAGCCCACTCCAAACTTCGGATAGCTCACCGTTTCTGTTTCAGCCGCCGTCATGTTGATTACGCTCCTGTCAGCTCGGTGTGACACCCACCAGCTGTGAAGTGCTGCGAGCTTTCTCTTTATCAACTGCTTTGTTTGATCGTTTCCATGTCACTAACCTCCCCCTCCACTACTTTGTGTTTTCACAGGTCAGTGTGTTGGAGCGTCAAGTGATCGATTTCCTGGGCTACCAGTGGGCTCCCATCCTGACCAACTTCCTGCACATCATCGTCGTCATCCTTGGCCTGTTTGGCACCATTCAGTTCAGGCCCAGATATATCACCGGAGTGAGTTTTACTGACTCGCTTAAGGCAGACACTTTTTTTACCATGTCGGGTTTGTCTTAAATTTAGCTTTTCATTGAGCAAAACTAACATCCTTAAGTTATGATTAATGATGGAGGAGGGGTTATTTTGTCCCTGGAGGGCCTCAATTCTAAAACGACTCTGCTTCACGGCTACAAACGATATTGAGATGATTCAGACAATGAAAGCTCTATACATTTATTCCTGTTTTAACACACACACACACACACACACACACACACACACACACACACACACA